GTCATTGACACACCCGCCCATTGAATCATCGCGAACGGTGCCTTTAAGACATCAGAATATTGAAGTGCAGTGACTGTGTTATTTAAGGTAGCCAGCCCACAGGGTTCAAGTTATGAAGCTCACTGTGAAAATCAAGATACTCGAGAGGCTAATGATGACATCCGTGCGCAATCCAATAGAAAACCAGGCGGACATTAAGGGATATGGAGGTTGCAATGGTCCAAGACCAGTTGAGGCATTATAAATGGAACCTGATGACTTAGACGTGTCACGAAAATGTGGGTGCAAAAAGAGGATATTGGATAGCTGGAAAAGCAGCACAGCTAGAAAATAGATGAGAGGCGTGTGCTTTCATTTCAGACTGTATGAGACCCAAGTCTAGTTCCCACGTCATTGAGTGCAGTCTTGCAGACGGAAAGAAGTACGACGAAAAAGATGGGGCTGCAGCTGCAAGCGGCTGAACCAACCAGGGAAGGATCCCAACTCGAAGTGGCTATTTGAAATAGGACCTATACTGCGAGACGTGTTTTTAGAAGCTGAATTCAAATCCGCTTTCCAAATCTGCCAAACGACCCTCTGAACGGAGTTATGAGGGTGGTTTTAGGTGACATTACATGAGAAAACTTAAATTACATGGAAGCAGCTCGGTGCTCAACAGCGGCTTGGTGTAATGGTAAGCGTGACGCGTCATGAGCGAAAGGCTAGAGTTCGGTTTTTATGAGAGACCGAGTTTCTGCATTATATAGAATTTTTCCCTCCAGGACTAGGAAATACTCTCATNCACTCTATATTCACAACAGGATTCACAGTAGGGTAACTTTTGCCACTTTATGAACAAATGTGATACTCTAGCACGAAATGCTTGAAACAAAGAAACTTTTCACAATGGGTGAAACGAATGAAAAAGAACTCGTCACAGCCCATTGCTTTGCACTCACTAACCCTAAATCAAAAGGAAATTTTGTAAGCGTTCCCAAAATCACCCGGGTAAGTGCTCAAGTAGCCGGCGGCATACCATGAATAGAAGAGAAATTTTCTAAATCTAACCGCCCAGAGCTGAAAATAGACACGCGATAGTAAGCAAAGAATGGGGTCTCGTGTGTACACGTAAAAGTCGAGATCATGGGCTATTACATATGAAGTGGTGCGTTTAACCATATTTCTAGAAGGAATAAAGCGAGGGAATCCGTAGAGTACGCTACTCATAGGCTTCTTAACCCATTGCGTACCGCGTGCTTCACATGGTGCAGCACTCCACTGTTTTGCCCCTTTTATCTCTGTTTCACCTTTTTTGTGCTCCAAAAAAGCGAGTATACATATTTGACCGTAGAGAGTAACATATATACGTGGGACTGCAAGATCGGAAGTAATTCTTGGACTATCCATTCTTCTTTGCGCAGTACTTCAATCGCAAACTTCTTTACCTCTACATTTAACATATTACGACATATTACGTACTAAATACTATAATATAAGTAGATATTTACATAAAACAAACGGAGCATTTCTTGTGAGATGACTGGAAACAACTAAGGCAAAAAGATTGACCACATTTTAAGCACTTTGTGTTCACTAACACAGCGTGACTTATAGCATACGTAGCACCATGAATTCGGGAAGCGTTCTTGTAGCAATTTACGCATCTTCTCCTAGATGTCCTTTTTGGTCCACTAATTTCGCTAAGTATTGGTCTTGACGTTGTGGGTTCTGCAGGTCTCCATCCTTCCAGAATGGACTCAACGATGCGNTGATCGAAATTCGTTCCTTCACTACGCAAAAAACATGCCAGGCGTTGACTCCGCTAGTTTGAGTGGTGAGTGGCCAGGCGGAAAAAAGGCGTAAGTACCACTTCGTCGTTTTTCTAACAAAATGTTTGTATGAACACATTTGGTCCGATAGGTCAACGGATCCCTTTGCCAAATTATAGTCTTCTACCATAACTGGTTTGTTGGATTGACCTTTGGACGCATCGTGGCACGTCGATAACATGTATATTTCCCTCTTGTCCTTCCATTTCAGCACAGTTACGCCTTTATTGTTTTGTCTAGCCACAACCTATCCCCTCTTGAGCCGCGCATACTTGGTATCTGCAGGTATCCCATGCCGGTTTTTCTTTAGAGTTCCAACGTAATTAGTTTTTTACTCTATCAGTAATTCAGCAAGCGCAATAGAAGTGTAAAAATTGTCTGCTGTGACGGTCCTGCCCTCGTTCAAGTATAGTGCAACCAACTTCAGAACCGCTTGTTGTGAAGAAGGGCAAGTTCTGTCGCGTTGTTGTCCAACGTAGACGATGAACTTGCAAGTATAACCACCAGCACAACACAATTATAAACCTTAATCCCGAATTTGTGGCGTTTTCCTCGAATATACCGCCAAAATATGGCTTGACCTCGGAATGGAATAATGCTCTCATCAATGCATACATTCTTGCCCGGGCTATAAACGGCAGCAAATTCCTCATTGAGCATGTCCAGAATTGGTTGGATTTTGTAGAGTCTGTTAGACTTGTCAGAAGCGTCATTGTCGGCGAAATGGAAGGCGTTCAGTATTTGGACAAATCGGTTTCTAGAAATAAGCTTCGCAGCGAATGATTCACTGAATACCTTCCTCGTGGACCAGTAATCCTTCAAATTCGATCTAATCTCCAATCCCATTCGAAAACAGATGGCCAGAAACTTCAACAGTTCTTCCTCGTCTTCTTTCTTCGTCAATATCCGTCCAAACAGAATACTTTGAGAGTCCGTATCTGTTCGCTTCTCNTACGTCTCTATCCAGTACCCCTTCAAACCCTTGAAAACGGAATTGATCTCGCCTTCGAATGTTTGATGACCATTGACTTCCTTCATCGCTCGGATCCGACTGCTCATCACTGGAATTCCAGTCCGACTCCTCACTTGTCTCACAGCATTCACAACCATTTCGTCCAAGACATCCCCTCCTTCATCGAATTTGTTTCGATAAGCAAATCGTCAAATGATTTGTTCAACTCATCCATTGCTGTCTACTGAAGTAATTTTTGTTTGAAAGGGGGTTTTGGGTGCAAAATTACTCTAAAGTTCAAAATTAAGTTCGAGCGGAACATACTTTGCGTTTCGCTCCAAAAACTGCTCTGTGTGGCCGCGTGCTGCACACCGTGAGCCACGCCGCTTCGATTACGAAATAGGCGCCGGGCACACGCCAGCCAGCGCGGAAACCCCACGGTACGCAATGGGTCAAAAGTAGTGAGTTTTGAGGTTCCACGAGATTACCATGATGAAAATATTAGGGCGTCCGGGAAATTTTGAGAAAATTTCACTTCTCAACTTTGCAAGCATGTTGCTCGCGAAGTTGAGCGGTGAAATCAAAGGCGCTAAAGGACCACTGTAGATTCGATAACAAGGAAAGGGG